CTCGGGATACACCCAGAGTCACGGAACGGATTAAGTTCGTATCCCGAGGTACCACTGTATTTAAATTGTTGATAGCTAGTACAGAACAAAAATTTGGTTTCCATATGAATGACCCATTTGTTTTGTGATCAGGAGGAACCAAGGGCTTTCCAAGGATATTGGGAAGAGTTCGGAGAGAAAGTGAAATCAGCAGGTAAGTATTTAAGATGAGTAGCTTTCCAAAAGAAAGTTAGGTCATGTCACTGTTAAGTAACAATATTCCACACTTTAGTGATGTTACTGCCTGTAAATTCCTCTCTTCCGGATGATGGTTGGAAAAGGAAATAACTTAGTTCCTTCTAAACTTTGTGCTTCAAAGAATGTAATTATAGAAGTCTTTCCTAGGTCAGGCACCTAACAGGTGCATTAGCTTACAATTCCCAGGATTCATAGGAATCCAAGGTATCTGGAGGGCTCCAGGCAGTTTGTGGAAGGCTGGACTACATTGCATACGTCTAATGACTTATAAACATGGGCACCTGCTGGGGGACAAGGGGGGTAAAGTACAAAATTAGTTTGTTGACTCCATGATTCAAATGCCACAACTTGCATACCTGGGTCAGACTTCAGGACTCAGTAGATAATAGTGGCATTTCTCTGATGATGTAACTGTGCATGTGGCATCATTGTGGTTTACTGCGAGTGCCACTGCTTTCAGACTGAGGGAAGTATAATCTAGCTGTTTTTTTTTATCTTTTAAACTTTGCTATGGTCACAGTTTTGTGCTCACTGCTGAATTAATTTTTCATGATTGATATATTTTTCTTTCTCGTCTTGACTGTTTCTTTATATGTTTGTCAGCTCTTTCCTTGGAAGAGTGCAATAACAAATAAGGATCTTAGAAATGTATTATAATCTCTCAGAATAAGAAAGTTTCTATCTTACCCCAGCTAGTATTAAGAATTGTACTGGATCTTATCCTAGAATCTTATCCTAGAATCTTATCTGTTGGTAAATTCCTTTCAATATTTTGCTTTTCCATTGTTTACAAGCAGTGGACAACAAAGATCATTTTGGGGCATGATTCTTTGGAGTTTGCTTGGAGATAACTAATTATTCAATTTGATTACATGGTATCTTGTATCTGCTGAAAGAGAGGCATTGGACACCGTTGCTGATGATATGCCTCAGAGACCTTTAGGAATATCTGTCTCAATGCAGACAGATGCAAGCTGGATTTATGACCATATCTACAAGAAAAAGTGTAAGTAATGGGTTTATTGTAGATATTTGAAATATTATGTATATTGAAGAAATCTTCATTATCTTGAAGAAGGAAAAACTGCTATACACCAGTTATTTGCTCATCTGTTTGTGTATTCTAGCTGGAGTTGCTTTCAGGATCTCAGATTTTTTCACAGCATTTGCTGTATGATGTGCTTTGATACAGAGATTAGACTATTTCAACCTGGAACCTTTGGCATGCAAATATATATTTTACCACCCATCAGTGGTTCCTCGTGAAGGTACAGTTAGCTTTCCACCTTAGGCAGGGAATGAATTTGAACCCAGGATCTTCATGTTAAACACAAATCTATAATTCTGAAATTTATCACACTATATATTTAAATTTAGGAGAACAGTTGGAAATCATATTTTTTCTCATTGTCTGGATATCTCTAGACTACTGTAGTTTGTGGCTTGGGGGCGTACTATTGAAAACTTGTTGGAAACTTCTGTTGCTCCAAAATTTGGGAGTTCCAAACATAAAGGAATGGAAGATATGTTGCTAGTTCTTAAACAACTTCACTGGTTGCCATTCTGGTTCTTGATTGCTATTTTTTCCTAGAAAGCCACATACAACTTTGGTGTCTAGAATTCAAAAAGACTGCCTACTTCCACTTAAATTTGTCCAAATGCTAAGGCCCTTTTATATTCCAGGTTTTAGAGATCAGGCTAATGAAGGCCATAGTAGAGCCTTCTGAGTTGTGGCACCCCACCTGTAGAATATTTTTCTCTGGGAGGATCTTCTGGCATTGAATCTGGTGTGTTGCTGGTCTTAGACAAAAATAGAAAATGGGTTATAATCTTGTGCCTGCATTGGTATTGTTTTGCTGTCCTAATTGTATTTTTGCATTTTAAAAACATACTGTTGTTTTAAATATGAATTGTTAAACTTCATCCAGAAGCTGGAAAACATAACGTTATTAAATCTTTTAGATAAGAGTGCATTAACAGAGTTTAAAAGTAAGTGTCCAGGCTCATGACTTTTCTGCTTTCACTTTATAAACTCTAGCCTAGGCCAGTGTTTTTCAAACTTGGAAACTTTAAAATGTGTGGACTTCAACTCCCAGAATTCCCCAGCCAGCATGTCAGTTGAAGTCCACACCACTTAGGGATACCAAATTTGAAAAACACTGGTCTAGGATCCTCTCAGTTTGGTGCCAAACTTTGGTGCCACTCTTGCTACCAAAAGTCATACAGTTCTAACTGTGGTAACATTTGGAAGGAGGGTTTAAAGTATATACTTTCTTCCTTTTAATCTTTTTAAAGAATTGTTTCCTTCCTGGCCTCACCTACTTTTCGAATTCTGTATCTCTCAGATCATTCAAAAGCAAAGTGCAGACTTGGATTGAAAAAGATGGCCACCTTTTTCTCTGGGTAAAATAAATTCTCCAGTTACTTTGCAAGTCATACATGTGCTCTGCACGCACATGCGCACACACATACAAACCCCATCATCTTAAAGTACATAATGAAAATAGCTTTCCTTCATAATATGGGTACCCAGCATGCAATGCTCACATGCTGAACTGCAACTCCTGGCAACCATAATCAGCCCCAATATTGAGAAATGTGGGAAGATCTACTTGGATAACATCTGTAAAGCAGTGTTTTTTCCCTGTGCAAATAATCTTCCAGTCAAAAAGAAAGTGATTGCTTTATTTTATTAGAATGTTTTGTGTACGTTAGATGGTACTGCAGGATACTGATTGAAATGTGACACTTGTTTTGGGTTGGCCAGGTTTTTGTCAGCTGTTGTGGAAAGCTGGAATATTTTCTGAATTAGGAAGTTCTGAGAATTTTTTTTCCTACCCTATATAGGTTTTTAAAGGGAAATACACAGAAAACCAAGAGTGTGCTGCTCCTTATCAGGCTGAAAGATGAAGTAGGCAAGGCAGTGAAAAAAGGTGGAGCATCCAATGAAATGGATGTGATTTAATTAAACTCAATGAAGAATTAAAATGAGTAAGCATGTATTATATATGTGCTGTTAACATTTACAGCTCAATGGCAACTTTGGGAGGGGCTTTAGGGGTTACTCAGAGTTTTGGGGGCTGCATGAAGCCCTGTGACCTCTAGTTCCAAACCCTTCTTGTAAGCAGTGCATGCTCTCTCTGCAAATTGCAATCTCTTATTGCTGTGCAGTTCTCATTTTTTTCCTTTTGAAAAGCCCTGCATGGAAGTAGATTAGCCTGCATGATTCAGAGTGGTCTGTCTGGACATTTATTTTCTGCCCTGTTGCTGCCTCTTTTCATCTTCTATTCTACCTATTTCTGGCCTCCTTCAGGAGAGAGAAAGAGGAAAAAGAATGTTGATAGAATTGGGCTGGCTTTTTTCTCCTTTCTTTTCAGCTCCAAAGGGCAAGCAAGGGGAGCTTCATCCTGAGAATGGTAAGTTACTCCCCAAAACATCTATTATTCATTTGGAGAACCATTTTTATTTTATCAGAACATTCTGTGTACATTAGATGGTACAGTAACAGGCTACTGATTGAAATGTGAAACTTGTTTCAGGATGGCCAGCTTTTTGTTAGCTACTGTGGAAAGCTGGAGTCGTTTCTGAATTAGGAATATCAGGTTTTAAATTCTTTTTCCTTAAAAAAATCTTTTTAGGAGGATTTTTTTCCTACTCTCTATAGGTTTTTAAAGGGAAATGCCCAGAAAACCAAGAGTGTGCTGCTCCTTATCAGGCTGAAAGATGAAGTAGGCAAGGCAGTGGCAAAAACGTAGGTGGGACATCCAGTGAAATAGATATGATTTAATTTAAACTGAATGAAGAATTAAAATGAGTAACCATGTATTATATATGTACTATCTGTTAACGTTTACAGCTCAGTGGCATCTGTTAATCTGTTAATGTTTACAGATCAGTGGCAATTTTGGGAGGGGCTTTAGAGGTTACTCAGAGTTGGGGGCTGCATGAACCTCTGTGGCCTCTAGTTCCAAACCCTTGTTGTAAGCAGTCCATGCTCTCTCTGCAAATTGCAATCTTATATTGCTGTGCAGTTCTCGTTTTTCCTTTTGAAAAGCCCTGCATGGAAGCAGATTAGCCTGCATGGTTTGGAGTGGCCTGTTTAGACATCTATTTTCTGCCTTGTTGCTGCCTCTTTTCATCTTCTACTTATTTCAGGAGAGAGAAAGAGAAAAAAGAATGTTGATAGAATTGGGCTGGCTTTTTTCTCCTTTCTTTTCAGCTCCAACACAGCAAGGGAAATTTCATCCTGAGAATGGTAAGTTGCTCCACAAAACATCCATTATTCATTTGGAGAACAATTTTTATTTCTATACTTTTTTGAATCCACAGAATCCTATCATGTCAGCTATCAAGCTGAGTGTGTACCTAGGAAGCATCATTGCTCTTCAGCCCCTAGGCTGATAGCAAGATCTTAGTCTTAATTCCCATCGAAAGCTGAGGCACTTGCTAGTAGAGAGACTTCGAAGGTCGCTGGCAGATTCTGTCTCTTCACTCAATAAAGGCTATGCTGCCATTTTTTGATTCTGTAATGTCCAGATATGACTGTCCTATAAGATTTGGCTTCTATTTCAGCATACCACTTCTGCCAGTTCACTATGTAGTCTTGAGGAAGATATCTCACCCCTTAGAGAGGGCAGTCATTCTAATTGAATGTACAGCTATGGAATACAGTTGCACAGGTGCTGTGGAATTCTACAGGTAGTTTTTGTTTAGCAACCACTGTTGATTCTGGTGACTTGGTCGTTAAGCAAAGCAGATGCTAAGTGAAAATCACATGACCATGACTATGTTTATGATTTTACTTCAGCTTTCCTTTTTCCCCACTCCCCCGCCCTTTGGAATGCTCACCCCAGCACTGGGATAATTAGCAAGAAGGGAATTAATGTTTATATTTACATTCATTGGAGAGGAAGGGATTAAAAGAGAATAAGTGGGCACACAATGAATACCCATCAAAAGCAATGCACTAGCACCAGCTGTTTGCCTGGCAGGCTTCTAGCTGCTTAGGAGCCAAACAAAAGCCTTTAGTGTGAAACTGATTAGGGTCCTGTCAGTGTCAGGCAACAGGTTCTAATCAACTAATTAAGGTTACCAAGCTCAGCTTGTTAACTTGCAGTTAGCACTTTTTATAGCTGTGCTGTGGAGAAAAGCAGCTCAGGAAGAGATAGCTTGTTTAGGCAGTCTCTCTGTTCTGCAAGTGGCGGTGGGGAGAAAAAAAATGGGTCAGGAACAGGCAACATGTACTAACTGACTGTAATGGCAAACATGTGACACAGAGAGAGAGAGAGACTGTGAAGGTTATAAACGCGGGCATTGGTCGCAAAGTTATTTTTTCGTCACCGTCATAACTGTGAACAGTTGCTGTCCAAGGCAGTTGCTAAACAAGGACTACCTGTA